AGTCTGAGAATGTTTTTCTGAATCTTGACTACTCCCATGACCATGCAATGAAATGCCATGTCATATAAACATAAAGCAGGCCTTCTGTCTCTTGAAAGATAGGGGATATCTGAAGGAGTGCTTCAATTCCCTCTCTCTGACTCCTTGAGATATAATGTATCGTGCCTTGGGATGAACATATAATCAGAATTTCTTGATTAAACTTTTATGCTGCTCATTGAATATTTCAGGGGAAGAACATAAGAGGGACATGCAGGGAGCTATAACATACTTAATAATTAACACTTCACTTCTTACTAGCCCAGTGTCAAAAATGTTTTCCTAGGTTCTCTGACTGAAGCCCACATTCGGATTGCTTCCTCTGCATGCCCTACTTAGGCAGCACCTTGCTGAAGAATGAATTTCGAGAGTCCTCAGCTGCTGGGCATGCGGTGTCCTTACCTGCACAGCTGACAGTGGTGGGTGCCACTGAAGAATTACTCATTGCCTGTGCGGAGAGCACAGACACTGCCATAGAGAGTGAGTGAGTGCTCACGCCAGCAGAGCAGGGCGTAGGTAGGGGCCAGCCAGTTGCAAAGTGGAGCACATAGCATAGCTGTGATCCTACCCTTTTTATGCCTTAGATACCTGCCTCAAAGCTACGCACTAAGGCCCTTTATTTGCTCTGGACTTGGAGGATTAAAACCAGACTCCTCTCTTGAATATAAAGGAGGACTTACTACTTTTATGTCAGGGGTCTGGCTGAAATTCTGCATACCTTTCATCTGGTAGCCTCATGACCCAAACTTTGCCAGTAAGGAGGAAAGCTAGGTTTCAGTCTTTCTTCAGCATGTTCTGTCTTTGCTGAAGCCTCTCCTGTTGAAGCTGGGCTACCGAACAGGATGGTTTGAGGGATGACAAGAGAATGGAGAGAATTAGCAAGTGGTAACATAATTCGGTAGCCAGGTTTTCATAGCTTGGCTTTTAAAGCTGTATGGTCTGATTCTCCTTCTGCTCATACAGTATCAGTGATTTTATTTTTTTTTTAGAAGTATATTGGAAATAAGGATTTAGCTCAAATCTGTGAACTGACTTACTGTATTTGCGGTAAATCTGAAGTAACTATTGATTCATAATTCAGCAACAGAACAGATGAGAACAGGGGTTGACTTCTGCAACTGTTTAGACAAGAGTGTGCTTTTGACACACATAATCTGTGTACAGCAAACTTTTTAATGTGAAACTGGAGGAGAAACTAAACATCTGTAATCCCATTGTTGAGGTAGGGTCACAGAGTTCAGGAGAGTATTTGGTATATGTGGCAAAGAAGAAATAAACATTGTAGAAGGAAACACTCATGACATTTGAAAATATTCTCTCCTCACATTCCCTTTTTGTTCCTTCCATTGTTAGTTCCTGGAACTGTATGTAATTCAATGCCGAGTATCAGCCTTGTAGAAAGACTTAAACCTTAAACAATCCATACTGAAAGTTATTACTACTGGGAAAAATGCTGGGGCTCAGCTTCTGGAAGCCCTTTTGGGTTCCTTATATATATATCACCTGGAAACACCACCTTGTTTTGTTGCAATCCTTGTCTCTGACTGGGACAAAAATCAGAACTCAGTACATTGCATTCTGGTTTTTCATATGTGTATGCACACTCACACCCTGCATATATGCAGTATAAGACAACAATACTTTAAGGGAAAAAGATCCCTTAATCAATATAACGAAAGACTTTGGAAGTAAATTAGCCAAATTAAATGGCAAAGTTTTTCATAAGTCCTCAAATTCTCTGTGTCATAGCAAAGCTTTAAACTCGATACAGTTGAATCTCTGCTGCTTTAAGCCTAGGAGAGGAGCAGGAACACCATCTGACACTCCTGTGTGACCTATCAGGACTTGGAAAAAAAGCAGGCATTTAAAGGTGGCCATACCTCAAACAGTGCAGTCAAGCAGGTAGAAATCTACATCTTTACTCCATGACTGTGTTCCTGGTCTGCAACAGCAGCCAATTGCTATATCCAACCTCCTCCTGAGGAAAGGGTGTGAGGCAAAATTATTTCCCTTTGTTACTCCAAAGCTAAAACGGGAGTAGGCCTTTGCCATCCTTCTGAGAAAGCCATAGTTTATCGGCAAAGTATGACCTTTAGGAAATCAGAACATAATTCTTTGAAATGTTAAGGTAGTCTGAAATTCCATGACAGTGCAATTTCTAATGAGTATAGTAATTACAATTTGATCCAGGACTTCTGAGTCACAAAACCAATGTTGTTTTGTAGTCCTCTCCACTTCAATTACTACATCAAACAACATGCAAAAGCACATTAAAAGTAATTTTAACTATTCTTTCTGAATGTACAAATCCTAGGATACTTCTCATTTTTTTCTCCAAAATTTCACTTTTGAATACCTGCACGTTAGAAAGCTTTTGATTATTTAAAATGTTATAAAAATCTGTGTAATGTTAACAAAGCCAGTGCTTATTTTTGCTACAAAAAATAGATGGAAATGGATCAAGACAAAAGACAGGACAACATTCATAAGGAGTGAGATTGCAAAAGCAAGATTTTGCAAACAAAAATTCATGTGGAAGAGTACAAACAAATATCCTGGCACTTACAATAAAAACTTCAACCCAAGGTTTTCTTTGCTAGCAGCCAGTAAGTGATTACATAGTACGTAATCCTAGTAAGACAAATTTGGGCATGAGGAAACTCTGCCATCAGTACTAACATCCTTTGTGTCTGAGTAGTGCCACAGACTCTGAGACAAAACAATTAAACTGTTCTTGTGTCTTTAACCTTTGTCCATTTGTGTGTGATACTGGGCACGGTCAATGCTGAACAAATAGCATTAGTGTGCACCGCATGACAGCAAGGAGGATTACAGCTGAGAGTAGTATTTGGTCTGTCAATTGAAAATATAAAGCTAGAATAAGGAGATAGAAATTTGACCAAGTGGCCTGTGCAATCTGTGCACAAACAATCTTAGCTTGGCAAGACAGGCAGAACAGGTAGAAGACATGAGGCTGCGTAACACCAGGCTGGTTTGACCTCATTTATGGGCAAAACCCAGCACACTTCCAAAGTGAGTGCAACTTGCCAACTTCAGAAGAAATAGTAAATTCATACAGTTATAGAGTATGTACTAAGTTCTACCCACACTGACTAAAGCTAATGCACAAGAATGCAAAAAGGCATGCAATGAGAAGAAAAACTGGTTGGTGTAATTAAGTAACTGAAAGTGAAAAGAAGAACAACTGGCACAGATGGAAAAGTAAATCCGAGAAACCACTTATGAATATTTTGAAACATCTGATACCACATTGAAACTGGAACTGCTGGAATTTTTTTGGCTGTTCTTCCTAAAGTTTTTTTTTCTTCTTCACATGGTGAACAGTCTGGAGAAAAGTATTTCATCTGGGAGGCATAGTGCTTTATCAAGCAGGCTCAGCCTCACCAAGTCCTCAGCCCTGGCAGAATGAGGGGTAAAATGCTTGACTGTGAACTGGTAAGGGTGAACTGTAACATGTTCAGCTGGACCTTGGACAAAGCAGAGCACCCACAGGTTCCTTTTTTAAACAGCGGGGATAGAGCTTAGGGTGCCCATACGCCTCTGTCTGGCAAGCTGATGACAGGATGTTCGCCAAAATGGGGGGTGGTAGTAGCTACATATTGTGTAGCAGCATCTTTCCCTCAATAGCTAAACTGTACACCAGACAGTAAAAAAAGAAGGCAGGTAAGATAGTTAAAAGGATTTGTTAGATGTAGTGCTTTTTTAAACTTTTTGCCAGAGAAGATGCTCTCCAGCTGCTCTGTTGCATTTAGCAGCGTCTCTCCCTCCTTACTGAGGTAGCCCCGATCCACCCGCAGGCAGATACTTGCACTCTGCTTGTATTAACTTGCTAAACCAAACTAGTGGGGAAATCACGAGCCTCAGTTGATCGAGGTGGATAAGATAATGGGCCTAAACACAACCCTCTCTGAAATGACAGCTTGAGCTGTACCCGTGTCCTATCCAGATTAATGTACCTCCTACCAATATCAGATGAAAGCAGTGATTTGCTATAATTTGCATGTTGTAATGACTGCCAGGATAACTGAAGTACCAACCATTTGTAAAGGACAAGTAGGAAGTGGGTTTAACCCTTTGGGGTTGTTGTTGCATGGTGTTGGAAAAACACCAGCACAATGCTTTCCATTTTCTGAGAAAGGGAAATGTATATAAATTCTGGACTTCATCTGGAATCTTAAAAACAAAACAACCCAAGATTTTCCTCCCTCCAACAAGATTCCTGGCCATATTGGACAAAAAAGTGAAATTACTGGACAGAGAACGAGACCTGTGCTCTGCCATTCCATTTCGGGGGGGGGGGGGGGGGGGGGGGCGCGAGCCAGGTGAGA